TGTAGTAGTGTAATTGGATGAGGTTCTGGAAACAAAACAGTTAAATGCCTGTTGTTGCTGTAGGGTGGGCTAACAATGGTCCCTGTCTCAGCTGCAGTTACTAGTGACAACATGGAGGCCAGCGCTACTTCTGGAGAATGATGGTTTCAAGCCAGATCCTTCATACCTGGGTTTTTTAAGCAGTGTTTGGATACCATCTGGTGGCTTTCTGCCCAGACTGGGTGGTTTCCTCACACACTCCAGTTCTTCGTGCTAAATTTAATTCTCACCGTTCATTAAAGGAAGGCTGTCCAAAGGTAAATGAAAGCAAGGCATACCCAAAAATACAACATGTGATTAGATTAGGCCTATTTGAGCATCAGATGAAATCATCATTCCTCTCATCTCTGTATACCAGAAGGGTCTTTGTGTCTGGGGCGTATGGACACACACCCTCCAAATTATGTGCTGAGAATGTATTAACCTAATTGTGTTGCTAGTCAAGTTGACTTGGGGTAAAATTTCTCCTCAAATCCAAATATGATAATAAGCAAAACCTGAAAGGCTCCCTTGAAACCATTCCTTTCCAAAAGGTGTTTTTTGGTCTTGCGCAGCATAACATGTTCCGCTTGTGTCATCTCAGATTGGTGCATTTCAAGCTTTTTATCTTCAGGGTAACATTTCTATCTCAGTTTATCAGCTGAGGAGAGCTTTCACTACAGAACCGTGGTTTAAGGTAGAGGATTCTGCAGGAGTGTTGTAGGCTTAGGTGAGACATTCAGTCCTACCAACCTACCAAGACTTTTAGGTTTTGCTGCCCAAAGCCATCCCGAGACATTCTTCTGTCTGAAGCGAAGGAGAAGCTCTTTCCCTAAGTCCAGAAGCTAGCTGGACCAGGTTCGATTGAATAGGCAGCACTGATGATATCCATGTGTTAGGGAAGTTCGAAAATGGTTTTAGGGTGTTTCAGTGAAATAATAGGAATGCATGCAAGATGGGCTGTATTGATCATATGATTCATTTGTTTCCCAGAAGTTATACATTGCAGGAATTATCAGTTTAGTTACAGCAGTCCAGATTGTTCTAGCAAGACACTGGAAATGATTATAGCCCTTGTGTCTAGGGACTTCGAATGGAATGCAGTGTTTGTCAGTCTTGAGATGTGACCTTGGTTCTTCTCTGAACCAACACAACAAGAGCTGGGTCTCAGGCCAAGGTGGGAACACCTGTGAACTCTGAAAAACAAGTACTACAAGACCCATATCCTCAAAACCTCTTCAGGGACTCCAGGATTCCCAGAACTCACTAATAAGACCAGAATTAAAATCTCAAAACTGTAGGAATTAGAGTGGCAGGGGAATCTTTGTTGAACTCCACTGGCTCAGAAGTTAAATGGTCAATTAAAGACAAAAATCTTGTTAAATCAGTATGTCTGTGCCCAAGTGTTCCTTGGTTGTCTCTGCCCCTTCAAGCTGCCTGTGTAGCAGTGTGTGTGTTGTATTTTTTTTAGATGTCACAATCAAATGTTGCATGAGAGAAGGATGTACATATTTGCTTAAATTGGAGTGGGAACATTTGATTCTTTAGCTCTTTCCGCCTACTTCTCCCACCAGGCTCATCCAGCATAGCCACTGATAGAGGATAATGGGGCAAAATGTGTGCTGTCTTTACTCTTCCTTGCCTTGATTTTGACAAGGAGTTGCTGACTGTGAATTTTATGGGTAATAACCCTTGTTATTACCTGCATCGATTTTGAAAGTACAGGAAGAAGAGATTTAAATTTTTCAAATGGATTAAATAGCTAATTTTGTCTTATGTTGCGATTTGGCTCAATATAAGACCAGATAAACCCCCAGTAATAGCCCCCATGCTCATCTACAGGTAAGGAATCTTGAAAGTTCTGGTGGTGGTTGAAGGGCAGATCCTGACACTGATTGGCTGGCATGCGTTCTTGTCACAGAAAGCAGAAGCAGTTGGAAGAGTCTCTGGCAGCAGGGTGGAGAAGAGGTGGGAGGTGAGGAAGCCTATAATGATTTGAAATAACTACTCAAGTCTTTGGCTGTAAGCCTCTGATCACCACATGGTTTTATATCTCTAAGAAATGCTGTTAAAAACAGCATGTGAACTGGCTGTTAAAAGCCTCCCAAGAGCTGCTCTTAGAATTAATCGGGAGCTATAGCAAATGAGTTTACTTTTGGCTTTTCTGTGCTTTATTGATTCTTTGCATTCAGGCTTCAAATTGATTTTTGCTTAAAAAAGGTTATATTACAATTTTATCTACTACCTTACAGGTTGCATATCAGGATTGGGATGTTGACATCGGCCAGTTTTGCTGTAGCTGGGTTACTGTGTGTCATGTGTTAATCACCCATGTGTTTTATGCACTGGATAACCATGTGTTTTATATATTGGATAGCCTTTTTATGTCCTTTCTCTATACTCCATCCCTCCCCTGCAGTGACCTCAGCCATTGCCCCACCATGGATCGGATGAAGAAGATCAAGAGGCAGCTGTCCATGACGCTGCGTGGGAGCCGGACAGTGGAGAAGAACCTCAATGAGCCCATCAGCATAGAGGAAAACAACAGTAGCGATAATGGTGAGTTTTCCCACTGTTCAAAAGCAGAGGAGAAGGATATGAGGGTTCTGGTGTTCTGTGTTTTAAGTAATTTTTAAAAGCTGCTTTTAACAAGTACAGGGTCAAAAGGCAGCACCCACACAATAGCACAGTAGCGTACAAGGTGCAAAAGCCTCAGTGTGGATGCCTTCATATTACTTTGCACAGTTACATGATTGGATGATCCCGTGACAAATTCTACTAGAAGCATTTTAAACAGAAAAGTGTGTAGTGTTTACTTTAATGCCTGCAGAGAAAGAGCTAAGCACAGATCAGGAGGGAGTTGCATAACATCAGGCCACCGCTGAGAAGGCCCTCTTTCTTCTACATCCCAACCCTAACAGAACTAAATAATATGCATTTGGGACAGACACTTGGTGTAAGTCTTGATCTTCAGGCAGAATTAGGTGGAAAATGATGGTCCTTCCAACGGCTGGGTCCCAAGCTGTTTTATTTGCAAGCCAGTCAACAGAGGGCACTTTGAACTGGGACCAGGAGCTTACCTACTACCAGCACAGTAGGCATAGCCATTTTTCCTGGCCCTCACCATCATCTAGATGACTTTCTTGTGTATGAGCTGGAACTTCCAAACTGTCTTGGGGTCATTTTTGGTTTGTTTGTTTTTTTGTATTCTTGCATAAAGTGCATTGTAATGGTTTGAAATGCAGAAATTTATTTGTTTCCACTTGGTCAGGAAAGTATTAGAGAGTGTAACATCGGGTGTGGAGTCTGACAGATGCCTTTAAAAAACTGAACAATGAGGGCAACCTGCCCCTGAACTGAGAGCGCCTCTCCTTTTTTCTGCTAATCCCCAATATATATATATCTTTTTTAAAGGTTCTTTTTTAAAACTGGGGGGTGGGAGAGAACATTTATGAAGTGACCTTCTACAAATCACTTCAAATAAATAAATGTAAATACAAATGTTGTTTGGGGTGTGTCTTGGCAGTGCCCTCCCCCCCAGATACGTCAGAAGTGCCTCCATGTGCATCTGGAGAGCACAAAAGAACCTTTTAAGCAAAATTGTTGAAATATATATATTTTAAAATAAGTGGAGGGTGGGGCGTCCCAGTGGTGAGGGGCTTCATTTTGACTTTGCCCCATGCTGCCTGCCCATGGCCCTCCCCCACACCCTTTGTCTTGAGCTAAAGTTGGGAAATTCTTTTGATAAAAATTTATGAAAATGCACAAATCACTTTGCATTTAGAGGGGAAAGAACTTCATATTTTAAAAAAATGAATGTGGAAAATTCACCTTGGCAGCCCAAGGACTTTGTATGCTTCAATCCTAAAACATCTGGAGCTGAATCTCCATGTCCTCAGCTGTATTTGTCCTGTTGAATTAGGATTGCGGTTTCTTTTTTTGAGAGAGAGACTGGTCATTTTTAACTACTGAATGGGATGCTGGGATAACCTGGCCCTCTCCACGTTGAAAATAACTAGACACTGAATTTAACCAATAGAGGTAACTGAGATTTGTTTTCCACAGTTCATTTTTTGGGAGGGTGAAGAATTATCAACATTTGTAACTGCATATTCAGGACTGAAAGAACTGGATGGTTAAAAAAAATTTTATGTAGGAGAAAGGGAGATGGACACATTTTCCTGTCCTCACACTTAACATTACCTCATATGTGTTCAGTGGTGCTGACTTCTAAAAACACAAGAAGTGCTTACTTAGCAGGATCAGGACAAGATCCACCTTGTCTGACGTTCTTTAGAAGAATTGCAACAACCTGCAGGTGCTGGAGCTAGGAATTGGCCGTGGTCCATCCATAAACTGCAGCCTACCTTCTGCCAGATACTGTAATGGCATTTTCCATACGATTGTGTTGTCCATGTTAAAAGGCTTCTCCCTCCATTCATGGTGAAAGGCTTTTGCAGAAATTCAGAATGTCCCCAAATATGTATGTACATATATACAGTATTTAATATGCCACCTTTCCTTATATTACAGGTCAAATGCTTGATAAAAAAAATCACATGCCTGGTTTAAAGCAAAATAAAGTGTGCTGCATTTATATACCACTCCATAGCGCTTAAAGCTCTCTCTGGGTGGTTTATAATTTAATTATGAAGGCTGTACATTGTTCCCCTGCCCTCTTGTGAGCTGGGTACTCGGTTTACCAACCTCAGAAGGATTGAAGGCTGAGTCAGCCTTGAGCCAGCTACCTGAGTCCAGGATTGAACTCAGGTTGTGAGCAGAGTCTTCACTGAAGTACTGCAGTTTAACCACTGCACCACAAGTCTCCTTTAATTTAAGGGTGAGCAAATTATAGCACTCAAGATGTTGTTGATCTGCGGGTCCAAGCATTCTTCATCATTTGCTGGTGTGGGCTGATGAGCCTTATAGTTTAACAACAGCTGGAGGACCATACTTTGTCATTTCATGGCTGAAGCACTGGATCATGGTTATCAGAAAGGGTCATGCTGAAAGGGATGGAAGACTAGGACTTATCAGCAGGCTTCTGCAACTCCTCTTGCCAACCTTGCAAGAACCAGTGCCCCTGGCAAGGTTGGAAAACCAGCCACACACAGGTTCCGTTCCCAAGTTCACAAATGGCAATGAATAAGGGACGAGTTCTCTTACATTGAGTGGGTGCAGAGGAAGAGTTGGGCAAAGGCATTCTGTTATACTGAGGGCATCCCAAGTAGGAGACCAAGGGGGGGCAGTCTCTACCCTGATAACTCATATTTACACATTTAGAGATTTCAACGTTTAAATAGTATCTAATCCTTGGAAAGATGGGATAAGAGGCAAATTGTGAAATATTGAAGACGAGGGGGAAAGTGCTTTCTGTGAGGAAAGGAGCTGTGAAAAAGCTCCAGAAGACCCTTGTGTGGGAGTGTGTAGCCGATTATACTTTGCTGTGTTCAGCTTGCCTCGGAAGCAGCCAGAACTAGAAACTTGATCTTCCATTTTTGAGAGAGAAAAATGGGATTCTGAGAAACCTAATAGATGCCTTGGAGGTTGCGCTACACAAGTCGCACTTTGTGATCTGAGGCCGTGCAGTAAATGGAGCTTTTTGATATTGTAAGCGGCCTGTTGTAATTGCAGTGCTAGCTGAAGGACCTTTCCATGTGTGGAATCAGATCAGATGGTCTCTTTGCGTTCATTGTAAATACTGTTAAGTGTCCCAGTTCCCAAAGTCACCCCAGGTGGGGAAGTTTCCATCAGTCCCAGCTGTGGACAAAAGACTATTCTGCTCAGGTAAGTCCGTCTTCTCCCCTTCCTGCCCCTCTGCCAACAGTTCACTTTTCAGTTTAATTTCCATTCTGCTTTGATTTTTGTTAAGTTTTTCTTTCTTTTATATTTCTCTTAATTTCTTTCCTTTTCCTTTTTTTTCTTTTTGTACGTATGTTTTATTCCTTCCTTCCTTCCTTCCACTGTGGCGGCGTGACTCCTTTCTGCTTGTGATGGCCACCTCCTGCCCCCTTGTGTCCTTGTTTGTTTGCTGGGTGTGCCCCATCATCACCTTTCCTGTCCTGTTTCGAGGGCTCCCCCCCCAATATGTGTATCTGTTCCTATGTTTTCCTTTTTTTCCCCCTTTGGGTATGCTTGCGATCCCCATGCCTCTCCTTTTCATCGTCCTTGTCTTCCTGTTTCTAATCCTTCCTCCTTCTTCCCTCAATCCCTTCAACTGCCGGTTATGGTTGGATATGGGTGGGATGGGGACGATATTCTCACCCTCCTTTTTTTCCCTACTTGTGGCTGGTTTTGTGGGATCCCACCCACCTTCACATCTGCTCTGCTGCTGCTGCTTACGGGGTGTCTCCCCTCCCATTGCACCCTTTGTCCCCTTCCTACTGAGGGTCCGTTCTCCCTTTCCTCGAACGGCACGTGTCCGTCCGCTTGTCTCCTTTTGCACCCCTCTCTCCTTGGATCCTTGCCATCCTCTGTCCTCTGCCCGGTCTGTCTGTCCATTTGTGCTTCCGTGGGCTCTTCCTCCATCCCTCCCCTCCCCTCCCAGGCCCCACAGGGAAGGGTGTGCATCCCAGCACCTCCCGCAGCGTTCACGCCCTGCTGCACCACTACGCGAGCTCCCTCCGCAGGCCCCGCTTGGCCGTCAGCCGCAGCCTGAGCACTCACCTCAACCGCACCGCCCGACTAGGTGACTATCGCAGCTTCCCCAGTGTGTGCTGCCCGGAGGGCTTCCCTCTTGTTGGACACGGTCTTTGCGGATTCCAGCTGGCCAGGAAGAGAGAGAGAGACTGCTGAGAGTCCTACCCTGTTGGTTCACACACACACTGGGCCTCTCATGGTGTGGGGCTGCCTTGGAGGTGGGAATCCCGGCAGCAGAAAAATCAGGTAGCCCAGAGGCCTGGATTCCCATTCCTGCCTCCAGTAGGATGTGAGTAAGGCTGCTGGAAATCAGGTCTTCTGCATTTTATTCCCCCCAAAAAACTTTGCTTCGTGGATGAACTCATTTGAATCCGAAGAACTAGGTCTTAATAGTGTATCTGTTTCCCTTTGGAACCAGTTAGATGTGTTTCAGTTGTGTGTCACTCTCCAAAAGGCTCCTCAGGTGAGAGGTAGCAACTTAGCAGTGAAGCGTTTCTGTGCATTTAAAAAAAAGGGTCATGTTCATTCCCTGCCATCTCTGGGTGGGAGTGGGAAAGATTCTGGTCTGAAAATTTTGGTGAACTGCTGCCCTTCAGTGGAGGGACTATGGTGACAGATGGCCGAAGTCAGACTTCAGGTGATGGCACTTCCCTGTCCCTCTTCTCTAGAAGTGACACTGAGGAGACATCATCATACATCTAACTGCATTACAGAAGACACTGCAACTGTGGTTTCCATCCATACAGGCCTTCAGGTCCCTGTTGCACTAAAAAAAGGGGACGGGACATTAAAAAACACAGACTTGCAAGAACTGTTAGTTGTTAACCCTGTGAGGTAGTTCTTTTTCAAATACTGAGCTCTGAGCTTCTTATATGCAAATGGGCTATAAAAATAAGGAACACAGATAATCCACCCAACTTACTTGCAGTAACTTTATATTGTTGATGGAGGGTGGGGGACATAAGAGAGGAAGATCTGATTGGGTGGGGCATCTTAAAGTGGCTAGGCCAGAGGTGGCCATATGTTTTTGTCTTACAATTCCCTTTGGTCTTTGCCATTATGTAAACAACAACCCAGAGACCTGGAAGGGGCAGTGTTGCTAATTCTTTGGCTACATCCTAACGCTGCACTTAGAATCAAGCAGTTAGATAGCAGCAGACTATAGATCAGTGACGGCGAACCTTTTGGGCCTGAGTGCCCAAACTAAAAACAAAAACAAAAATCAGCAGATGGCGGGCAGCAGCGGAACCGGAGGTGGCGGCGGAAGGGGGAATTCCTGGGCATGGAGGTGCCTCTAGACACCACTCCGGATCTGTTGCCAGCGCCAGCTGCTCCAGATCCTGGCTCGCCACCTGTCGAAGTGCCACCATCATGGCTGCAGCCACCTCCTCAGGTTTGGCTGCGGGCGGGGGGGGTGCGTAGAGATCTTATGGCTTGCGTGCCTGCAGAGAGGGTTCTGCGTGCCAGCTGTGGCAGACATGCCATAGGTTCGCCATCGCTGCTATAGATGTTCGATTCAGTATTTGAATGTTCTGCTATGGAAAAAAAAATCTTTATACAGTAAATAGAAAACTAGTACATTTCCATACTGGAAACGACGAGTAGAGGAATATTCTGTCCCTGGCCTTTACCCGCTGTGCTGGTTTTCTTTTTTAATGTAGTGAAGCATTTTTTTAAAAAAAGCAGTAGCCTTCCACTTTGCAGTCTGAGATGATGCTCTATCGGTGCTGTATGTGCACAAAATATCTGATTCTTGTTTGTGGGAGGCAGGTTTGGGATCAACATGACTTACGCATGTGTGGATGTTACATATGCAATGTTTGCGGAGTGGTTCTCAACCACACTCTGGGTTTATTGGCCTCCACCAAGCCCAGCTTTAAAGGCATTAGAGGGGGCTGAATGGGGAAAAAGAGTCCACTAATTTTCCCTGCCTCTTGTTTCTCCATCATCTTTCCTGACATAGAAATCGTCCATGAGGACCTCAAGATGGGTTCAGATGGTGAGAGTGACCAGGCATCAGGGACGTCGTCTGACGAGGTGCAATCTCCTGTCCGAGTACGCATGCGCAACAACCCAGCGCGCAAAATCTCCACTGAGGTGCGAGCCTTAGAGATGGTGGTAGAAGGTTCAGGGCCGTTCTCGGTGTGTGTATGTCTCATTTTTAGTGCAAATCCTGTTTTTAGCAGCACTTAGACATGTGACTTTTCTTTCAACTACATTTTCCACCACCCTTTGCCCAATATACACGACTCTGCCTATAAAAGCAGGAAGGCTAATTAATACTAGTTGCACTGGTGCATTTGCTTTCAGCGTCTTGGCAAGTTTAATGTTTTCCATTTTTAAAAAATCACTGTTGGCCTTCTGAACACTTGAAGAGTCCAGTCCTGATAATGCCCCGTGGAAAGAGGACCCTCCCGAATGGGCTCCTGCAACAGAGCAAACTATGAGGAAGTTCTACGATTCTATGAAAGTCGCTGGCCCTCCTCCCGTCTCTTCAGTGCGTCATTAGTTGGGAGAGGGCAGTGATCGTTCATAGAGAGTGTAGGAGGTCTAGCCGTGTCCCCCAGAAGTTGCACCAACGTCAGTCTTGTTTCTTTGTCATGCCTGATTGCCATCATAGGATTGCCATCATACAGGCAAGTCGTTTCTCCAGTGGCAGGCTTTCACCATGCTATTCAGATTCTGATGGCCCCAGCAGAAGGGGGATCCATTTTACCTCTGACCAGCATGGAAGTGTTTTTGGGCTGACAGAAGAGAAACCAAGTGCTTTATTTCTCATTTGCCAGCGTGCTGTATCTCTAGATTTCCCACCCCCTGCCCCACTTTCAAGCTGCCTTTCTTTAGTCTTTGTGGGAGTCTCTTAAGAGTAACAAGGAAGTGAGGGAAAATGGGTTGCAGGCTTTTAATTCTGGGGAGCTTTCATAAAAAGGCTGGTCAAATGCCTCTCCCCTAGGACATTAACAAGCGTCTGTCACTCCCTGCTGACATCCGACTGCCTGAAGGCTACCTGGAGAAATTGACCCTCAACAGCCCCCTCTTTGACAAGCCATTGAGCCGACGGTTACGGAGAGTCTCTTTGGTAAGTGGCAGCCTCCCTACCCCCCACTCCCAGCTCTGCCGGATCAGCAATAAGAGATGTCGATCAGCAGTCATCTCTTTACAGCAGCCACCTGAAAAAGAGCAGCCGATCACGCTCTCTGCTTTCTCTTGCAGTCAGAGATTGGTTTTGGGAAGCTCGAGACGTACGTCAAGCTGGACAAGCTGGGAGAGGTGAGCTCTATGCCATCTGTTCGATTGTTGTCGTTTTATCCCGCCTCTCCTCAAAGTAGTTTCAGGTGTCATTTATGCTTTCCCTCCTCTCTACTCACCTTGACAACAGCAATCCTGCCGGTTAGATCTGGCTGCGAGAGTATGGCTAGCCTAAGGTTGCCCAGTAGACTTTGTGGCTCAGTCAAGTTTAGTTCTTGGATCTCTGATGTCCCAATTCAGCACCCTAAACGTTATGTCACAGGTAGGAAGGCAGAGCTTGAATAGGATTTCATTGTAGGTGTCATGCCCTGCATACCCAAGTCTTCTTCGGAGGAGGAAATGCCAGGATCACCTGCTTTAGTAAAAGGAAACTGGGATGGAGGAAGTACTTGAGGATGCACCTAATCACCCCTTCCTAGTGGCACAGAAAGTGGAGGCAGATCCTGGCCCCACCAGGGAGGATCCAGCCCTTCCTTGAGAACACTGCCAGCTTTCCAGTTGCACACATACATACGCACACTGACAGCTCACGAGTGTGAGGGTTCGACTTGTGCCTCCATGCTCGGCTCAAAGAAATCAGTGCCTTGAGAACACTGTCAGCTTTCCAGTTGCACACACACATACACACCACTGACAGCACACGAGTGTGAGGGTTCGACTTTTGCCTCCATGCTCGGCTCAAAGAAATCAGTAGATTTTTGTTGCTTCAAAACAGGAGAAAGATTTATTGGTGCATTTAACAATAAACAAGTGTCCGCAACATGATTGTGAGTCTTTTTTCCTTCTGCCAAGGGGTCCCGAAGGGGTTTCCAATCTTCAAACAGGAACGGATTTCCACAACGAATGTTCCATGGTCCCGGTAGATCTGAAGGGACCCAGTCTCTTATGGTCTGCCCCATCGAGCCTTCCAGCCAGGGCATGGTCTCATCATCCCAATCATCATTCCACAAAGCTCGTCTCTCAGGGTCTCGGTTCTCCCAGGGTCCTCCCTGTAACTCTTCCTCCTCATCTTATTCTCCATTCCAGCCTTTCTTTCTTTCTCTCTCAACTCTCTCTTTCTCCTCTCTGTCTCCTCCTTCACTCTCACGCCTCCGCTTCCCCCCAATAAGAGGGTCTAGGGGGGAATCTCTCTTCTCCTTCTATAATTTGCCTCCTCCCTAGGCACTTTTAGTCTCTCCCATAACCCCATCCAGAGATCCTCCATCCACACCCATTCCCAACCGGGCGGCAACTGCCCCTCCTTCCTTTTTGCCTCCCCTGTTCCTGCCTCAAACTCCACCCTCTTCTTCCTCTCCTTTCCCGGCTTTTCCTCCTCAACCTCCTCCATCATTACTTTATGCATCTCTTCTGTCAGCTCCTCTATTTCTGTCCCTTGCTGAGCTTCCGCCGTAGGCTCTGATGCTGGCTGGGGTCTCGCCTCCTTATCCTCGTTGTGGAGGAGGGACGGCACGCCAGCGAGTGGGGTATTCCTCTTGCCTTTGGTCTCACAATAATGTTGAAGCAAAGAACGCTACCATTGGCATCTCAGCCGCCTGCAGTAGATAATTATGGAGCCAGTTGGAGAAGGGAAGGATCCCCTGCTGACAACAATGAATAAAGGCCGCCTGCCCAAAACTGCTAGAGATAACAAGCATATCTAGCTTTGGTGTGCACTGAAACTTTCTTTGCCCACTGAACAACCTTAGGACTGTGCCTCTCTCTCTTTCTTTGGTTTACCTTGTCACCTTGGAATGTGAGTGATTACAGATTGACTGCTGGGTTCTGACCTCTGACTTGTTCTTCTCATGCCCTGTGAAACTCTGTTAACAGCTGCTCTGTGTTGTGATGTGGACTGGCCTCCGACTCCCAAAGGTCCTGCCTGCTAACACTTGACACCTGAAAGGGGGGGCACTTGTGGAAACTATTGAACTGCCTTACCTTGGGGTGCCTGATGAGAAATCTTCCTTCTCATGCTTTTTAATATTTTCTTTTCCTTTACTGATTTTCATTCTACCTTCTTCCATGAAGAAACTCTACATAGGGTAAATTATAAGTAGCTATAAAGATCTGAAGGCAGGGACTCCAAACCTGGATCTTTCCAATCCAAATACAACACTGGGACCAGTTCACCACACACCGGGGTCAGTAAGCAGGACATCCTTAATTGTCACTAACAATCTGTGTGTGGGGGCTATGTCTGAAAAGTGTTCAAGAGTTACAACTAGTGCAAAAACACGGCAGCCAGATGGTTGAACGATGTGTGTTTTGGAGACCCATTTACCACCGCCAGGGTTGGACCAACCTCACTGGCATCCAGGCTACTTTCGAACTTAAATCTGGGGACTTGGGGCCAGAATATCAGAAAGGCCATTTGCTCTTGTATGAATCAGTCCAGAGTATGAGACCTCACCAGCCTAAGGGGCTAGGTCAGTGGGGGGGGGTATAAAAAGACAGCCCCCCTCTCTCAATGGTGGAATTCTCTCCCAAGGGATATTTGGCTGGCCCAACAGAAATGTGTTGCATCAAGGGGCCTTTGCTCTCAAACCCTGGTTTTGAAACCTAGCTAGGAGAAAACGGACTGAATATGGTTTTAAATGATATTTTAATTGCTTCAAGTAATGCTGTTAAATGTATTTTTAGTCATTTTAATAAATTGTAAGTCCCCTTGGGAACTCTGGTGAGCAGAAAAGGTGACAAAGAATAGTTTTGAGTGGATGAAATAGATAAATATAAACCTGTCAAGAAGGCCTCATGAGCAGGTGACAATACAGGGAAGACACACCTGCAGTCAGAGCTGTGGTTTTACATTCCAGCTTTGAGGGAATTGTTTGCTGCTAACATGGGCACTAACCAGAAATAAACTGATGGACAATCTGTGGTATGATGGGAAGTTGGGGAGTAGGGAGATGAATGGGCCAGATGTTGGGTGTTGAGGAACTGGCTTCAGCTGCGTATATCTACCATTTCAGGGAACATACGCCACTGTATATAAGGGCAAGAGTAAACTCACTGACAACCTGGTAGCCTTGAAGGAGATCCGTCTTGAGCATGAAGAGGGAGCCCCCTGCACAGCCATCCGGGAAGGTATGTTGATCTCTGTTTCCATCTTTGGTTGTAATTCAAGAGGGATTTCCAAACAAACTTGTTTTTTTGGGCTTTGAATGGATATGTTATTTAATATCATATACTAGAAAATGTATTTTTTTAATGGAACTGACTTATTTATACAGTAATTTGTTTCATGTTGAATTATTATTGTAATGTTTGTTGTTGCCGTTATGACTATTGTTGTTAATTAGCTTGGAAAATTCGTGGTATTGAAGGTAGCAAACATCAGCATCCAGCATACGGTGTGGTGTTGTTGCTGTTATGACTGTTGTTGTTAATTAGCTTGGAAAAATCGTGGTATTGAAGGTAGCAAAGAGATATATTTTGAATAAATAGATAGAAATAAAATATTGTTATCCCTATTCTTATTTTTTATGTAATTTTGGATTGAAACTGGTATTTTGGGTGTGTTTGCAAACATCAGCATCCAGCATACGGTGTGGAGTTTGGGACTTCATGTTATGACTGTTGTTGTTAATTAGCTTGGAAAAATCGTGGTATTGAAGGTAGCAAAGAGATATATTTTGAATAAATAGATAGAAATAAAATATTGTTATCCCTATTCTTATTTTTTATGTAATTTTGGATTGAAACTGGTATTTTGGGTGTGTTTGCAAACATCAGCATCCAGCATACGGTGTGGAGTTTGGGACTTCACTGTCTTATTATGCACAATGCCCAGCATAGCTGACTGGGTGGTATTAAAATTTAATAAAATTAAATAAAACAAATTAAAAAGTTTCAGCCATTTAGAAGAACCCCTGGGCATTGGAGAGCCGAGAAATTGCAAGCCAACAAGCTGTAGCCACACACAAAACTGTTACATGATGAAAGTGTTGCTGAAGACAAAGGTCAAGAGACTAAATCTACTCTCTACTACCCATTGAATCAGTGAGACTTAAGATTTAACAAAGCCCATTGATTTCAGTGCATGTGCTCTACATGGGACTATTGACTGGATCGAGGCCAGGATTCATGTAAACTAGAGCAATTTACCTACCAGTGGAGGTCAGGATGTGGTTACAGCCCTTCCCATCCAGACCCCTCCATCCACTCCGCATATATGGATGGGGCCTATAAATGAGACAGGAAAGAAGGCAGAAGCAGAGTAGCCGCGTGTACGTGTGCATGTGCCCATGTATTTGCAGGAAATATGAGTGTTCAGACTGGTCCTGGGGATGAGACATAGGTCTATATTTTGTTGCAGCCTTTCCACATCCGTTTGCAAACATCAGTATCCAGCATACGGTCACAGAATTATTCAGTGGACCAGAACAAAAAATCATACAGATGCAGGAGGCAGCCTCTTCTCAGAGGGGGATGGTACTTGGGGCTCACAAGAGCTTCAAATTACTGTAATTTCCCCCCCTCCCCAGTGTAGGTTGCTTGAAGTACACAGTTTATAAACTATTGCATTAAACAGGTAGAAGTGGTTCAGCTGGAAAAAATTCACCATGTGTCTCTGTCTCTCTCTTTCTTACAGTTTCACTTCTAAAAGATTTGAAACATGCCAACATAGTGACCCTGCATGATATCATCCATACAGAAAAGTCCCTCACACTTGTCTTTGAGTATTTAGTAAGTCATGAGGGGTTCAGGGTGGGGAAACAATACGTTAGGATTTGTTTTTATTTACGAGTTGAAGTAGCGTTCCCAAATGAGAATAGAATAATCCAAACCCTCAGGCCAGAATCTTACTACATATATATGCCAGTTTATTTTAGGATAAATCTCACTCGCAAGTTCCGCTAAATTAAAAAGCCAGTAGCAGCATTTGCTTATAACAGATTGTATGACTTGGCACCCAATGGCAGACGCCTAGATTCACTTCTTAACTTGATGCAGTTTGCCAGTAAGATTTACCCTGATTGAGTTGTGTCAGAAGACATAAATGACAAGATTCTGGCCAATGGGTGGGAATATTGATGATGACAAACAGCTTTCTCCTGAGGACTCCTGTAAATTGTAATTTTATGAGGGGGGCTAAATGACTTAAATGAATTCTTAGTGCTGTCCCAACACAGCCATTTCAGTTGTCAGCCTTTGTGACAGAGCTAGATGTATTTCTCAAATTAGGGATTTCCTAAAGCATAGAAGCTCTATTCATGTCTTACTTACCAGTGATCGCCAACATGCTTAGAGAGGAGGGGCTCACCCTTCTCACTCCACTGTTAACTCTATCCATGGAGAAAGAGAGGGAGAATGAGAAAGAATGAGATGTATGTAGAGGAGCATTTTTTACTCACACGTAAGCTCTTCATGTGAGCAAGTACCATAGAAAATTGGGCAGGAATCTCTCTTCTGCAGATACATTTCTATCCATGTGGAGAAAGCATTGGTGGTGAGGGAAGGGGCTAGGCCTCTCCTAAGTGTGTTGAAGAGAACCAGGTTAGTGGTTGGTAATGCTAGTAATAGTCATAATGAGTACTCGGGTAGACTTTACAGTCCTTCACATTGATTGATCGATCAATTGACTGCATTTCTATGCTGCCTTTATCCCAACAGGGAGATACTTTTATGCTCACTGGCTTGCAAAACAGATGTATTTTTTATCTCCCTATCTCAGATGGGAAGGGTATTAGCTGCAAGAGGGTGGCTTGCAGGACCCATAGTAAGGACTGGCAAGAGGATGCCCATTGGCTTCATGCACCTCTCTTGAGTATCTCTGCCCTTCACTCAGGGCCTTCCACTCAGTGTGGAAGACTGGAGGTTTTAATTTTATATCCCTAAGTTTGATAATGATGCACTCAACTGAGAGAGAAAAAGATGTGAGTCCTTTGTACTTCCTTCTCAACAGGATAAAGACCTGAAACAGTATCTAGATGATTGTGGCAATGTAATCAATATGCACAATGTGAAGGTAAGGGCTGATTCCCTTCATGTTCTCTGTCTGTGTAGGTTTTTGGTGGCATGTCAGCGCTCATTTTTGCATGTACTGCTGGCAAATGCTCACCTCACAATGAAAGTCCATTGGAGGATTTGATGCTCTTATTGTTTGCATGAGCTGAAATCCAGTAATAAGTCGCAACTACAGTAGTCTCATGAATCATGTATAAGTTCCCTTGACTCAATGAGTCTACTCTAGTTGTGACAGGCTAGTGGATTTCAGCCATTTTGTTGTTAGGACATGTTTTCAGCTTTATAAACAGTCTCCATTTCATCTTCTACTCCCCGCCATTCTGAGATTTGTTTTTAATACATACACCTTAGTAATAAAAATGTAAATGAGTGGAATCCATTTGTTCATCTCATCTAGAGCAGTCCCTTTGTGTCAATAACACTTTTACTGTATAAGTATCAGCATGACAAGCCCCGTTCAGTCAGTCAACCTGATTTAGCTGAGACTGACAATTCATTTAGCCTACTGCTTCCATAAAAATGCAAAATTAATAAAGAATAGAAATGTACACACTCTCTCTTTTGTATACTCCTGTTGGGTTGCCCTGCCCCTCTGGGCATCTGGACCTTGTTTAGCTAAAACAACCCACTGCCAGTGCTAAATATTTGCCCCAGATCTTCTCATGCCATATATGCCAGCACTGTTGAAGCAGCTTGTGTTAGCATTTCTTCTACACCCCATCCATGGGGTTCTTTTAAGTAGTTAATAATTTCCTTTGAAGCCATGCTGGATGAAACTCAAACTGATTCGGAACTGAATTAAGAAATGAGCTGTGTGTGGTCAAAGAAAACTTGTCATCTTTGAAGAAAGTAAGCTGAGAGTCAGATATGTTGGCATTAATATACAGTATTTCTCTTTTACATAGTAAGTTAGGTGTAAGTTACACTTACAGCAAGTTCATGGGAAATGGTGGTTAGTAGAGATGGGGGTATCCGTACCCTGTTTCCCTGAAAATAAGACCTAACTTGAAAATAAGCCCTTGTATGATTTTTCAGGATGCTCGTAATATAAGCCCTACCCCAAAAATAAGTCCGAGTTGAGTGGAACCCTGCCCTCCACCCTTGTGCAGCAACCAGAAGAAGATGACAGGACTGTATTTGAATCAATGTAGATTGTTGTACATGAAAAAAAAGACATCCCCTGAAAATAAGCCCAAATGTGTTTTAGGAGCAAAAATTAATATAAGACCCTGTCTTATATTTGGGGAAACAGGGTATTCGTATATGAATATCCCCGCACAGGTAGTGTTAACTAGACCCATGGGGCCGGATGGCCCACGCACCAATCCGACACAGTGCGATTCTACCAGTGGCTCCGCAGCGTATGATCCGCTCACCACGCTTCGACCTTGCAGCGAGGCTTGTCCTCCCACCTCCTGCCAGGAGTAGCGAGCGGATCGTGCGCTGTGGAGCCATTGGTAGAATCCTGTCAGATTGGTGAGTGGTTAGTCTTGACTTTCTTGCTCCATTGATTTCAATGGGTCTGCTTTAATTATGGTTAAATATGGATATTCCCTGTTCTCCTAGTTAACGAGGACATTAGAAATGCCTTGCGAGAGCATCCAGAGTCTCAGTATATACATAGCAGTTATTATAGGGTAGGAAGAGAGGATCTGTAGCTGCAGAAGCTCATCTAGAGAACTTGGTTTCCATTTCCAGCTGTTCCTGTTCCAGCTGCTACGTGGCCTCGCCTACTGCCACTCTCAGAAGGTGCTGCACCGGGACCTCAAGCCCCAGAATTTGCTAATTAACGAGCGAGGAGAACTCAAACTTGCAGATTTTGGTGAGTGCAAATCAGCTCTCCTCATTTCCTCCGAAGAAGACCTCTGGTGTTTTAAAAATAAATATTAATATTTGTTTTGTTGTTGTTGTTTTCCAAAAATTCTCCTAGGATTGGCCCGGGCAAAATCCATTCCCACCAAAACTTACTCCAATGAGGTGGTGACACTTTGGTACCGGCCACCTGATATCCTGCTGGGCTCCACAGAATACTCCACACAGATTGACATGTGGTAAGGATTCATAACTTTGAATGAAAGCATTTCCTTTTAATGCTTTCTATGTGTATGTCCATGGTCTTCTAAAGGGCCAGAAATGGAGCCTCTTTCCTACTGAGTCCATCTTTTTAAGCAAAGCAGGAGCCAGGTACTTTTATTCAGTAATCCACACATTAACCAAGCTGCCCCAAGCATAGGCAGGGAAAAGGTACTGAACAAAGGTAAAGAGGTGGAAACTAGATGTCAGGTGTTTTGAGTTCTGCGGTATTTAGTGCAGGGTTGCCTCAGGAGACTAGTTAGAGAAAAGCTCCTCTGAAGATGGAAATCTACTGCCCTGAGAAAGCTTTCAATATAAGCAAACAGGGCTGTGAATTTCATGACTAGAGGTGGGGTAGTAAATACCTATATTTTACACAAAGGAGCGTTAAATTCTGTGACCTGCTGAAACTGCTGGATAGTTCAGGGGTTTAGGTATTTTTATTTATTCATTCATTCATTCATTCATTCATTCATTCATTCATTCATTCATTCATTCATTCATTCATTCATTCATTCATTCATTTATTTATTTATTGTATTTATACCCTGCCTATCTAGTCATTTTGACCACTCTAGGCGGCTATTTGTGGTTGGGAGTTCAGTTCCTCACTGGGCCTCTTTGACAGAGACTGGACTCGACGATCCATAGGGTCCCTTCCAGTTCTGTGGTGCCAAGATTATTATGATGATGTGAGGCATATTTTCATTTCCTTGCATAGTTGAGTTTCTGATTGTCATGGGTAAGGTACCAGTGGATGCAGAGTGCTGATTCTCTAACCCACCAACCACAGGAAATCTCACATGCTCTCTGCCTGGCAAGAAGGAGCTTTAAAACAGAGAACGAAATAATTGCCAGAATAATGATGAGATTTTAACAGTACTTGAGTGAAAGATTTGGGGGGGGGCTATATTTTAAAACACCAGCAATATGATCCTTGCTCTACCTTCTTTGCTGCTGACAATGCCTGCTGTTCTCTCCCTGCAGGGGAGTGGGCTGCATTTTCTATGAGATGTCCACAGGACGGCCGCTCTTCCCAGGCTCCACAGTTGAGGAGCAGCTGCACTTCATTTTTCGGATATTGGGTAAGGAGAGGCTGGCACCGCTGAGAAAATGATGGGGATGGAGTAGGAGAACTGCAGGGGAAGCTTGCTTTGGAGATTCACAACAAACATCATGAGTGACTTCTGGAATCCAAAAGCAATGGATCACCCAATAAACAACAAAAGGAAGTACAAACAACATTAACTAGATCATTGCTTCCTATTTCTTGTCATTCAAAGGCTTCCACGCCTCTCTTGGGCTGAAAAGACTCCCAAGAGTATGTTACAGATCAGTGAAAATGATAATTGGGAGGGGGGAAAAGACAGCCCCTATCCTCAGGCTTACAGTGTCAGAGACATGGTGCAAAAGGAAGGAAGGAAGAAAAGGGAGGAGGAAAGAACAGATTGATATACTCGTGCTTAAAGTTAACAGAGTTCTTATAATAATCAGCTGTGGTGGAAGCTTTTCATGGAGAGAGGAGCCAGAAATTGCTGATCTCTTAGTAGCGATGGTGGAATAGTTGCATTTCCCAACTTCTCCTTTGCTGCAGCCTGGTTTCTGCTGGATGATGGGATAGGAGCGCTCGTATGGATGCTCTCAGAAAGCCCCTCTTCTGCTGCACAGGATAGTGCTGTGGCTTCCCTATTCCCAGACCTTCTCCTTTTCCAATCTTTGTTCCTCTTCTCCTCCATCATCAGGGACGCCTAACGAAGAGACGTGGCCTGGAATCCTGTCCAATGAAGAATTCCGAGCCTACAATTACCCCAAGTACCGTCCCGAGGCCCTGATTAACCATGCCCCCAGGTATGCATTCGGAGGTGGTTCATGGGATGAACCAATCTGTAAGGGACAAGAATTCAGTATTTTTGCAGCAGAACAGAGGAGAACACCTGCTGTGTCCTCAGGAATGTGGGAGTGCAGGAACTCTGACACCCAAGTAGGTGTTGCCTACCCTTTTAAGTATGTCTTTGCAACCGTCAGGGCCAGAAAGTTGGCTTTAAGAAATAGACATAGATACTGTGCAGTCAAAGCCACTTGTCTTTCTGTCTCTCAGTTTTCCTCTGCAATCCTGAGAATTAACACTGACCAGCATTTGTGGCAATAGTGAGGGCAGCATAAAGCTATAAAGTTCGGCCCAGTACTCTAGTCTTTCCCTCTTGAGAAATGTTTACCTCCTGGCTCTTAATCCAGTGGCATTCCTCTTCAGTCACCCCCTGGCTACTTCTTCCCGAGCTGAGAGGTAGCCAAAGGGGCTGTCCAACCATCCCTCAGGAAACGCTGGCTCTGTCAAGAGTTGTTTCACTACTTCTTTTACTGACTTCCATGCCTGAGTCAAAATGCAGGAGCAGGAAGGGGAGCTGCCCGAGACAAGGGATCTGCCTGTGCTGTGTTCCCGGTCTCACTGGAGAGTAGGATGGGGTTATGAAAAAGCTTTTACCTGGACTTTGGCTACACAGTAGATAACATTGCCTGCCCCGTTGGTTCAGGTCCAGATGGGACCCCTGTTAAAAATGACTTACTGACCCTTGGTTAGCAAGTTCAGTATTGAGTACAACCCAAGGTCTCTATAGATGGTTTAGCAGCAACAGCAGCCCCAAAAGGCAGAGCTGCAGTTTTCACTGAGATGTTACAAGTTTGATCTTCTGTTTTTCTCTCGGATCTTACAGGCTGGACAACGATGGGGCAGACCTCCTAGGGAAGTTGCTGCAGGTGAGGACTTGTTTTTGCATCACTGGAGTGTTCGAGAATTTCCTTTCCTTCCTCTGGTCCCACCTAGTGCCTCCCCAGACGTGGAGAAATGAAAAGCCTTCCCTGCTGCGAAAAAACAGCATCTGTGGTCTCATTCTAAAGGGGTTTAAGAAGTGTTGATAATAAATAAAAAGGAAGCAGATGAGGAGTTCGAAGAAATGAGGGCATCTCATCAGGCAGGCCAGAGGTTTTGCACCATAGTAAACGGGTTAGTTTTCAAGGACTCCTGTACGTTTCCACTGACACAAAGGGCTTCCAAGCTGCCCTTTGCAGTAGCTATGTACTGTGGTGCAGTTGTGAAAATGGGTTGGACTGGGGGTGGGGAAGTCTGGGTTCTGTTCCCGCCAGCCATAAAACTTACAGAGGGACCTTAAACCAATCCCTGATCTCCTCATATCCTTCAGTGGAGGAAGGAGGAGAGCCATGTACATCCCCTTGAGGGAAGCCAGGATCTCTTGTATTAAATACTCTGCATTGGAGGAAAGCCAAAATATAAATGCGCCTCATTAATGAACGGAGGATGAAATGTATAAATAGCCTCAACACACAACCTGGTGGATTTGTCAGGAAACAGCAGGATCTGGTGGAAGTTGCTGCTTTTCTTTTGTCCCAGCTTCATAGGCAATCCGCTTGCTGCTGAAACTACAGTGGTGCCTCGCTTAACGAAGTTAATTCGTTCCAGCAAAATCGCTGAGGAGCGAAAATGTCATAAAGCGAAAATAAAAAACCCATTGAAATGCATTAAAACACAGTTAATGTGTTCCAATAGGCTAAAACCTCACCGTCCAGCAAAGATCCTCCATACGGCGGCCATTTTCGGTGCCTGCATAGCAAGGAATCCATCCCTAAGCACAGCGGGGAGCTATTTTGAGCACCCGGTGGCCATTTTGAAAACCTGATGATCAGCTGTTTAGATCGTCGTAATGCGAAGAATCGGTTCCTGAAGCAGGGAACTGATCTTCGCAAAGCGAAAAAAAAAATTCAAAACATCGTTTTGCAATCGCAATTGTAATTGCAAAAACATCGTAAAGCAGAGTCGTTGTAATGCGGGCCAATTGTTAAGCGGGGCATGACTATAATAGGTAGCTGTGGTTGCATTCCAAGCAACAAATTGTAACTACAGGACAAGTTGGCAGGATGACATGGAAGAATCCTTACCTGAACCATCTCTGGGCCTGTCCGTATTCCCCTGCTTGGCCCTAGGCTTCATGCCAGCTTTTTTGTTGTTGTTTTTTGGTTTCCTTTTCAGAACAGGCCTGGCCACTTTTGGTCCACCAAAGCAAGCATGCTCTATCAGCCACATACGGCAGCTATATTTTTGTTTGTTTGTTTGTTTGTTTGCTCTTCTTTTTATTTTACCTGCCCGCCTTTTATAGAGGTATAAAACTAAAGTGCTGGTTAAGTATCAAGCAGGGCATGGCTGTGAGTTACACATTGCAGGTTCACTTATAGTTTTGCAATCAAGTTGAAATCCAGCCGTATGTCTCAGCAAAAGTAGGCCCAGGGGCAATTTGGTGAGCCAACTCACCTGTAAACATCATTGATTCAATGGGTCTACTCTAGTTGTGACATACTACTGGATTTCTGCCAATATAAGTTTGAAGTGTTCTGTTTCTGCTTGGGGATAGATAGGTTTATCTTAATCCTTTCTGGTGCATATTTCCAGTCTCTGCCTAAGGCAGGATGCGAGGGACATGTGGCTCTCCAAATGTTGGCTGCATGGCAGATTCCAACAGTCATCGCCAGCATAACCTTTAGTAATGGTTGATGGGAATTGCCATAGATGTCCCAGACCTATTACCGCTAGAACTTAGCTCTTGGTCAGCGGCTGCAGGTGTCCCCACTCTCCCTGGTTCCTGCTGGAATGGCATCTATCCAGCTCCATTCACAAAGGATGGGAATCCGGAACTGGGGCAAGGTCAGGGGGAGCGGGGGCTCAGTTGGGAAGGAGGTCATGGCGGAAGCTTTTGCAGACTCACTACATTCTGTTTTGCAGAGCTGGAAAGTTAAATTTTTTGGACTACAACCCCCAGAATTCCCCAGCCACCCTGGCCAGCAACAGTCCTGAGTGAGGTATTCTGGGTTTGTCATCTAAAAAAGTCAGGTTTTTTTTTCTCCCAAGCTGTGGGAGTCCCAAAAGCAACTTTGCCAAGTGTTGCCTTTTCTAGAGGGAACAAATGGGGTCAGCTTATGTCTTCACAGCATGGATCCAGACCCTGGTGTTTTTCTTTCTCGTTCTCTCTTTTTCTTTCTCCTCCCTTTTCCTTTCTTTCTTCCCAAATGCAGTTCGAGGGCAGGAAGCGGATCTCTGCAGATGAGGCCATGCGGCACCAGTTCTTCCACAGTCTGGGAGAGCGAGTCCTCAAACTCCCGGACAGTAGGTGCAGGCTGAGGAGGGAGGGAGGGAGGGAGGGAGGGAGGGGGAGAGGGCCAGTCCTTGGAAGAGCGGGAGGGGCAAACGAGAATGTATGTTGACACAAAGGGATGTGGCATTCAACTGGCCTATCAAGTGTAGTCGGGCTATTCCTGGTGAGCAGGAGCCCTCCCCTCCCACCTTTCCTTTGGTATTAAATAGACTCCAGCCCCTGTCAAGGAGGCCCTGTGTGGGAATTGAACCCTCAAGCGCTGGCTCCACAGCCAGCGACTTCAACCACTGAGCTATTCCATGTGGCTTGTGTGCAGTTTTTAACCCCAAATAAGCTAGCAAGTATCTTTCCTTAGCAACTATACAGTAGACCTTTCTTGGTTGTTTTTGTTAATAGCTTTGTTTCCTGCAAAACTGAAGATTGAATTGTAGTCATACCATAACACCACTAAGTTGAGCCAGCCATTGTCAGAGTCTTCATAAGCAGAGTACAATGTAGATTTCCTTCTACCGACGAGGGATAACTAATTTAAATTTTTTAATTTCATATTTCACTCCCTTGTGATTTCAAAATAGGCAGTGAATAAACCACATAATGTATACCCATCCAACTGCCTTTCATTCCTCTCTTTTTTGCTGTAAACATTGACATTTGATGAGGAATTTATAATTTGAACTTGCACTTAAATAAAAATTCACACATTTTTAAGTTGTAGAGTTTGAAATGGCAGTGAGGAGAGGTACTGAAATGACCTCCTAAATCCCACCCTCTCCTTACCTGGGAATGTGGCTTCAACAGCGTGTTTTTTCAGAGACAGATCAACTTTAGGAACTTGAGTATTTTTTTGTGACCCTTTCTCTGCTAAATTTATTTGAGCTGCAGGAAAAAGGCTATCTGGCAGGAGCTTTACAGATCAGTGGACCCAACAAAAAGCCTTGTCTCACTTGGTTTGTGTTTCTTCCTTTCCTCTTGCAGCAACGTCAATATTTGCACTAAAGGAGATTCAGTTACAGAAAGAGACAGGGCTGAGGTCTGCCTCCCTGCCTGAATCAGGTGAGAAAGGATGACTTGTCAGCCAGAGTCTTGCCTGTTTTCCCACCAGTCCTTCCCAGGGGAAACCGAAATCCAGCTACTTGGGGTACCACTTTCTACCCAACCTCCCCTGCTGTTTTTTTTTTAAATTTCTTAACATGGACGTCACCAGATCCAAGGGTGGTCCCGTTGAGAAGGCTAAGGGGAAACAGCCAGAGGGGGCAGAGCAGGCTTGCTCCACGGGGAGTCTTCTCCATGTCTGCGGGGCTTGTGCAGGAGAATATCCCAGTGAATTAGATCGATTTCTCAGAGGCTGGAAATGTACAGCCTTCCGGGCCTTGCAGGGCTGGAGCTCCCTGTCATCCCTCGCCATTGGTTATCTGAGATAGGGCTGATGGGAGCTGCAGTCAAAGGACATCTACAGGGTGTTAGATTCTCCATTCCACTGGTGCTGTGGCAGTGGGGTGTGTGGGGAGTTGGCATTTCGATTTTCTGCCTGAGCTGTGCGTATTCTACCCAACCTCCCCTGCTGTTTTTTTTTTAAATTTCTTAACATGGACGTCACCAGATCCAAGGGTGGTCCCGTTGAGAAGGCTAAGGGGAAACAGCCAGAGGGGCTGTCTGCGGGGCTTGTGCAGGAGAATATCCCAGTGAATTAGATCGATTTCTCAGAGGCTGGAAATGTACAGCCTTCCGGGCCTTGCAGGGCTGGAGCTCCCTGTCATCCCTCGCCATTGGTTATCTGAGATAGGGCTAATGGGAGCTGCAGTCAAAGAACATCTGCAGGGTGTTAGATTCTCCATTCCACTGGTGCTGTGGCAGTGGGGTGTGTGGGGAGTTGGCATTTCGATTTTCTGCCTGAGCTGTGCGTAAAGCGCTCTGCCACCTCAGGTCAGCCATTCATGATACTGAAAGTGTGGGCTTCAGTTTGATAGGCCCTGCTTTGACTGTTTTTACTTTCCCCTCCTGAAAGCATGGGGAAATCTTGTTGCCATCTCCCCCCGGGGAACTCCGCCATCCCCTTTAGCCCTCCTCTGCGGCTGCCAGGTGAATGGTCTCTCCTCTCCCACAGGCAGCGCCGCGTTCCGGGTAGTGGACACTGAATTTTAGTCACCAGGTCAGGTATCGGTGCCCTCACCACCACCTCCCCCCTCCCATCAGCCCCCCTCCCCCCCGTTGTCCGCATGA